TAATATGTGACAAATTACAAAATTTTGAATTAATCCACAAAATAGAATCCCTTAAAACATTAATTGAAAAGGAAATATGTAATAATTTACCTAATGCATTCTGAAATAGGAAATAACATATTATTTGATTACCATATGAACCTGATTTTGATGAAAAGAAAATACCTACAAAAGCTAGACCAATTCAAATGAATACTGAATTATTACAAACATGTAGAATAGAAATAGAGGATCTATTACAGAAAAAACTCATAAGACCAAGTAAATCTCCTTGGAGTTGTTCAGCCTTTTATGTAAAAAAAAATGCTGAAAAAGAAAGAAGAGTTCATCGTTTAGTTATTAATTATAAACCTCTTAACAAAGTTTTACAATGGATCAGATATCCAATTCCCAATAAAAAAAGATTTATTAGACAGACATGTATACCATAAACGCGCCAAGATCAACCTGTTTAGTTTACTATCATGAACAGCAGTTTACTATCTTAGGAACATGAACAGAGCAGAATTATACTTCATTAATTGTTGTAAAATTCCTATATAATAACAGAATAAAAATATTATAAAGATAGCAGAGATCAAAGAAATATCTAAGAAAATCCAAGAAGTATGAGTTGAATTCCTAATTTTAATATTGAATACTAATTTAAATTGCATTAATACACAGAATAATAACACTCACTGTTTACAATACAATAACTGGAGAAGATATTCCGTTCGTAAGGACAGTAAGAGGGAAGAGAAGGGATATTACAATCACACATCTCAAATTACAGAGTAATAGAGGTTACCAACTGTATGTTGCTTACACAGGACTGTTATGAATGCAAACCTACTGTATGAGAATTTACAGTAGTGTAGTAAGGAAAGGAGAAAGAGAAAGGGATATGAGAGAGATGACTCAGGGATGTGATGAAGAAGGTCTTCTCGTATAGCTTCCTTGAAATTCGACCTGCTTTCTTTGTTGAGGGAAGCGGTATTTATAGGCGCAGGGATGTGCGGATGTGTGACAGGTGGACGGTTGGCATGCTTCTGTGGTTTACGCTTATCTTCAGGGAATCTGGCGGGGATAAGTGTAGTAGTAGGTGAGTCGGTTGCTGACTGATGGTGACAGGCGAAGGAGATGATGTGCTTGGCGATGATGCTGATCGAAGGAGATACTGACACGCAGCGATAAGTACTATGCAAGCGAATCTCGTACACTGTAGTTGGGGTCTTTTCTCAACACGTGGCGATCGCTCAGGTAATGAAATACTATGCAAGGGAATATTCACTGTAGTTGGGGTCTTGTCAACTAAAAGAAATATGCTTTTGATACTATGCAATGGAATATTTACTGTAGTTGGGGTCTTGTCAACTAAAAGAAATATGCTTTTGGGTTATATCAAACGAAAGTAAAGATAAAGATGAGGTCATATCAGCTTTAGGTCATATCGGATGTATTTGAGGTCTCTATTTCTGATGAGTCGGGTCTTCGGGTCTGGTTATCAGCCTTCGGGTCTTTGGCTAAATTCTCTGAGGAGAGGATTACCAGACCAGACAGTCTCTTCTGATGTTGTAGGTACAGTAGAAGGGTCGGCAAAGATTGCAAAGAGTTGTTTTTCTATATCTTCGAGTATAGCATGGGGATGAGCTTGTTTTATCTTTTGAATATAAGAAGAAAATGTATTTAGTGTAACAATATTATTATCAGGAGCATTATGACTGAACTATGAGGAAGGAGGAATCCTCTTGAGCGAAAGAGATTGTGGGTCAGTGCTAAATATATTCCACCACTTGATTTTTATATTTTTCCCCAGGCGAAGAATGTATTCAAAGTTATTCGAAGTATTTTTATTAATAGCATATTCCCATTTGACAATCCATGGGATCTGATATATGGCCATAAAGTAAAGATGGTAGTCGATTTGATCAGAACAAGTATTATGCTCACTGAATTTATGTTGGAAGGCTTTAAAGGAATCAGGTAGTAGTTGGGTAGAAGATCCCCAAATAAAGAACCAATGACGGAACCAACTGGGAAATCTCTCAAGTATGGACATTTTAAATTAGATATACCATGAATGAGAATTATTTGGATTTTGGTAAACAAAGATTTTATGCCAAGCTTCAAGATATTCTGCATATCGATAATATTTATATTGATATTCTGTATTTAATAATTTTTTTCCCTGCGTGGGGTTATTACCCCAATCTTCATATGTCAAGAGCTTTTCGATTTGTAACTTGGAGTAGGCATATACATTCGTATTGCCTTGGAAGAAGTGGACAATTGAAACTGAACCTGTTTCCATTAAAACAGACTCGTACCATTCTCTAGTTTTGATGCCATTAAGAGAACTTAAATGGTTTTGGAGATACATGGGGGCTAATTTATTTGAGTTCATATGAACATGTTTGTCACCAATGATAATATCAATAATAAAAGCATTGTCAATATATATTGACTTGGTAGAAGAGGAGGATGATTTATATGGGATTTGGGCTGGAGAAAAAGCAGGACTGGATGATGTATTATGCTGTGGACTTTGGATAAATTCGAATACATTGGTCGATCGTAATGGAGACATGGGTTGTATTGGAAAAAAGGTTGGCTGAGCACGAAGAGCTCAGATGGATGTAAAGGAACTAAATCCATAGAGGTTTTCCCTTTAGATTTTTGAGATGTATTAGTATGCATATCTCTACCATAATGAAAAGAATCAGCCAACATGAAGCTATTCATAAAGAACCCACTATTGTTGACCTCAAAACAGAGGTAAATAATATTAAAAGTGAAGTATCTCAATTAAAAAATAGGATACAAATACTAGAATTACAAAATAACGGTTCAAACATAGCAATTAAAAATGATGATATTGAGTTTGATAATTTAATCCATACTTATAATCTTAAAATCCACCTGAAACTTCAGGAGTCAAAATAAAGGAAGACGAGACATCCTTAAATTTACTTAATAAAGTAATTACTCAAAAATGGTTTGCATTAGTTAAAATCGTAGTCAAT